TCCTTAGGAGGATTTAGAGGACACGCATGGACTCGCCGAGTCACCCGAGTGCACTCGACGAGTCTGGTCAAAGTTGGACCGTTGACTGAAGTTGACATCTGTTGACCTTGGGGGTTTGGTCAAACTGATTCATGAGAGGCCATGGAAGGGTAGAATGGTCTTCTACCCATTCTTTAGAGAGGAGAACATGAGGAGAGTATTGATTAGAGATATTATGATTTTGATAGGTGGAGGCTAGGTCGGGGATATCGAGCACGAGATTTTACTAGACATCATACGAGGTGAGTCTTCTCACTATACATTACCTAGAGTGGTATCTATGTGCAGACCGGAGGGTCTTATGTGTTATGTGTATGTCTGAGATTATGTGCATTGTGATATATGTATGCTATGTGTTATATAGACCGGACCGGAGGGTCCAACGACTTACGAGGCCAGAGGGTCCTCGAGTAGACCGGACCGGAGGGTCCAACAATTTAGACCGGACCGAAGGGTCCAACTAGCTAGACCGGACTGGAGGGTCCAACGAGCTACGGGACTGGAGGGTCCCGTTGAGACACATTGACCGGAGGGTCATACCGAGTTATAGCCTCGAGTGGCTTATGTGCTGTATGTGGTATTTTGGGGAACTCACTAAGCATTTATGCTTACCGTGTTATGTGATATGTGTTTCAGGTACTATCGACGATCACGGGAAGGCGCCAGCATGATTTGTACACACTGGCAGATGACTATGTTTTTTTTTATTCGGGGATATGTTTTATTGTGATGACATTGGATACACATAAGATTTTGAGAATATTATATGAGTTTTATTGTGTTTGAAAAATGAAAAATTGTTTAAAAATTTACGTCGTTACAAGTACTTGTATTTAGATGGCCCAACAAGACCCCAAGCATCTAAGCTCAATGGAAAGGTGCACACTTGAAGCCCAATATGTGAAGCCCAAACGGACTGAGTACGTGGGGCGTAGTCAGCTGTACGCTAAGTGTACACGCTAAATGGCTTGTATGCGGCACGTACAGACTTCTACGCCCAATGTACTCACCCATTGAGCCCTAAACTCACTTTTGACCTTTAATCCATTAAGACATTGTTCCAAAGCGTAGATCTGACTTCCCTGAGCTAGATTATCACGTAAAGTTGCTAACTTTACATTCATGCATGGCTAAATGAAGCTCTTGAGCTTAAAAGGGAGTTAATAAGTGACTTAATGCATGTATGTGACCAAAAATCCCATAAAGCTTGCACCTTTAAGCTTAAGGAGTCCATAATAAGTTCATATCTAAAAGAATAAGTCCTTAAAACGTCTTAACTCTTCAATCAACCCAAAAAGGGACCAAAAGCATAACAAATCAAGCCATAAAGAGATCTAAACATTTACAAGCCAATATATGAATTTGTTACCTCAAAAAGGTTGCAACAAGGGTGATGATTCTGGATCTATAACCTTCTCACCAAGCCAAGCACCTTCAATCTTCTTAACTTCCTTCACAATGAGCAAAACAACCATCAAATCTTCTTAAGGACTCAAATGTACATCAATGAAGGCTAAAGGGCCGATTTAGGGGTTTTAGGGCAATAGAAGTTGGTAAAGAGACCAGCCCTTAAGACTTAAGGTGCTTATATAGGGTGCAACACCCTAGATTAGGGTTTCATTAAATCTTAGGTACGCCTCGCGTACATAGATGTATGCCCCGCGTACGTTCCTGGAGTCCCGATCAAAACCTCGCATCAGTACGTTAAGCGTACCATGTGGTATGCCCCGCATACTACCCAGGGACCAAAAGTGCAACATTTAAATAATAAAGGGAAATAATGAAACATACCAATATCCAAGTGTTACAGAGACGGTAGAGAAGGATGCAACAAGAGGGAAGAGGGCTACTGGAGAAGATTGTCGTGGGAAGGAACATCGTCTGAAGGGACAATCTCCGGAGAAGAATCGAGGGAAAAGAACACACAAATCATAAAAGGCAGAGGGAGGATCGCTTTATATGGGTTAAAAAATAGCAGCGACACCGAAAAATTGAAGGATTTATTCGCGGTTCCTTTTTCATGGTTTTAGCGACGACATCATCTCCCTTAAGAGTATCACCGCTATTGGTCATTCACAATTAACATTAAACCTTACCTGTTGGATTTAATGAAGGTTACATCGCTAATGGTTACATTTCTTTTTGTGCAATTCGGATTACGATTAGTCTATTAATATATCCTATTAAGATAGATAATTTTATATCTAATCTATTTTAATCCTATTCATGTTTAACAAATTCTTTATAATCTTTTTTATAAAAAATGTTTATCAACTATTTCACATAGGATTTAACTTAAAAAGTTAATACCATTAACCAAAAGGACCTTCAGTGTCAATTTTTTTTTGGGAAGAGATCTCCATTGTTCATTTGAAACGTGAGAAAAATCCCTTTTGTGTAAAATTTCATAAAAGACATGTAGTAGTCGTTTTTAAAAACTACAAAGACCAAATATGGAATTTTGTCTTATTTTATATGAACTAGGATTTGTGGAGGTTGGCAACTCGCATGGTGCATCATCTTTGGTGGTGTTGCAACGTTAACGGGGGTGGCGAGCTGGTGTTAACAGGCGCAAGACGATGGAAGGGCAGATGGGTCGTGTTTGGCAGGCGTTTCCAGAGCAATCGACATACCTGAAGAGAATGTTGGAATAAAAAATAAGTACGAAGCACCCAGTTCAAGAGTAAAGATTTTTGTATTCAAAAGGTCGGAGTTGAATTTATAAGAATCGGCACCTGTACGATAACATACTGAGGAAAAAGGAAATGACAAAGAAACGAAACTGGGGAAAGGAAAATTCGAAATTTGTTCGATCTTTCTTCTTTCCCTAGTTTATACCACACAAAAAACACATCAGAAATAGTGATGAAGTATGAAGTGAATAAACAAAATTTGAGTTCAAGGCCTTTACTTAGAATGTCTGGATCAAAGAGCAGGGATTAGGGTTCTTTTATGGTGGAGCCGAATTGATTGAACTGAAGGCATAAACAGACATGGATGGAGACAGACGGTTTTATAGAGCAAAACTGTGACAGAGATGGTGAGGATGAATAAGCAGTAGGAGATAGCGAAAGCAAGATGGATTAGGGATATTACTAGTTGAAGCATCGAGAAAGCGTTGAACAGTACGCGAGTTATGAACAGTATCCGAGTTCGATGAACAATGTCGAGTTATGAACAGTGTCCTACTCGGTACTGTTGCTAACTTCATCCTTTTTTAATACATATATGTTAATTATTAGGTAGAATCAATTTTGGTAGCTATTTAATGCGTATAAAGTTCTCTAATATTGCTTTATGCACACTCAAGAAATGTGAGCATTAGCAGCGACAGACGTTGCCGTTAAAAGTCAGAAATGTCGCCGCTAAAAGCTTTTGCGACAGCCTACCACCGCTAAAAGGTCGTCATTGTTGCCTTGCTGCAAATGATCAATATGTCGTCGATATTGCCCACCGTCGCCGGTGACGGGGGTCGCCGGTGATGGGAAGTCACGATTGAGGCAGGTTGGGGCTTTTTAACTGTGAAATTCTAGCAACGAAAGTTCATTATTTGCGCAGACTTTTAGCGGCGACGCAAGCGTATTAACAACAACGGTGAATTAATTGTGGCGACACGTGCCTGGAGGGAACTTTTGGCACCATCTATTTAGAGTATTAGCGGCGACACCATCGCTGTCATTGGTGTCGCCACTATTGGTTATGTACGCAACGAGGGTCCAAACCATTGGATTTGCAACAAGATCGACGGGTAGGTGTAAAATCAAACTTTCACATGGATCGTGGTTGAAGAGCATTAACGGCGACGCTATTAGCGGCGACATCCACTATTGTGGTTGCATGCATTGTTTTGCCACGTGTATAAATTGGTTAATTATTATAATGACGAGTATTTTATTTTTGTACTACAAGTATATTATTGTTGAAAAATAAAAAATGAAATACACACCCACGTTTTTCAGGCCACCGACATATATAAACCCTCTCTCACTATTGACAATATTCATTAGAATAAAGTAATTAGTGATAAAAAAAAAGATAAAGCAAAGAGTATGCTATAATCAAGTATTGAATACAACTTATTATATATATATATATATATATATATATATATATATATATATATATATATATATATATATATAATATAAAGAGTATGCTATAATCAAGTAATGAATACAAATATTATATATATATAGATATATATATATAGATATATATATATATATATATATATATATATATATATACTCTCACTATTGACAAGATTCAGTAGAATAAAATCATTAGTGATAAAAAAAAAGATAAACCAAAGAGTATGCTATATTAATACAACTTATTATATATATATATATATATATATATTATATATATATATATAAAAGGGAAAAGTTCAATAGAGAACCATAATTATTGGTTATTCAAGGAACCAAATCTTTTTTTCAATTTCTAAGTTTATTCTTTATCTAAAAAAAATCTAAAAATATCTAAATTAATATATTAACATTGTGAATGTGAAAAATATTTTTCGGATTCACACCTCAAAGATTCAGATTGTGAATTTGACGTAAAAAAAATCGAATTTGATATTATTGTAAAAAGGATAAAAAGTTATGAATTTCTGTATTTTTAGTTTTTTTTTGATAAAAAATAAGTTTTAAAAGTTGAAAATAAGATTGGTTCCTTGGTTCCTTGGTTAATTATGGTTCTCTATTGAACTCCCATATATATATATATATATATATAGATATATATATATATATATATATATATATATATAATATATATATATATATATATATATATATATATAAGCATGAAGAAGGTAACTGCACATCAAACATTATTCATCTGCGTAGGAATTATCATCTGGCAAAAACAAAGTGAGTGAAAAAAGATAAAGCGGAGACTAAACAATGCAAGTATCGAATAAAATATAAAGCTCTTTACACAATATATAAACCATGAAGAAGTTAACTGCATCTACATCATATCTTACTCATACATACCCATTCTCCATTCAAATGGAAGAATCAATCCCCTATTTTGGACAACGTTTTGAACAAATACAAAGCCCTTATGTTCGACATCCTTTAGAACAAACACAAGAAGAGCATAAGTACTTATATGCATCGATTACTAATGTTTCTAACTTTGTCTCTGTGAAGCTTTCCAGTGCCCGCAATTACCATCTTTGGCAGACACAGATGCTTTGCCTCCTGGAGACTTACAATCTGCATGGCATTGTAGATGTAACAACTACCCGTTCAAGAGCTTTAAGTCCGGAGATGGAGAAACAATATAACAGTCTTGTCAAAGGTTGGATCTTTGCTTCAATCAGTGAAGAGCTACTTGGCACGGTTGTCAATCTTGACTCGGCCAAAGCAGTTTGGGATAAACTGAAATCGTTCTACGATCCAGTTTTGATAAGTTCTCAACAAGGTATGGTACCTATCACTCTTCTAAACAAATTCTATATTACAAATTATCTCACGCACGTGACCTAGGCACCTAGCTACTCTCTAATTAACACTTTCTTGGACGTAGAAAATGGAATGGTCATCGGTCATCATATCATATACCTATATGTCAAAAAAAATATAGATGACATTTTCCGTTGGAAAAAATTTATATGTTAATATATAGATGTTTGTGTCCATGTATATTAATATAAATTTCTTAAAGCACATTTCCGTTTGTTTTATAGACATAATGGAACGATAGCCAGCAAAATATTTGTAGTAAATTATCATGCAATGGAGAAACATTATATTAATCAATCTAACCAACATGCATATATGTTTTCCGTTCCAGAGAAAAAAAACATGCATATATACTTGTTTCTTTAATTCATGTAATCTGTATTTTAGTGATTAGTTTAATTTTGTACCAATTGTGTAAAATCTTTATTTATCACGATTGATGTATATAATTAAAAAGGTCGTTATGATTTAATTAAATAAATTTTAATACGGCAATGCACATTCAGCTCAAACGAATAAGGAAGCGGAAACAGACACAGAATCAGAAACTAGAGGCCTAGATAAAGGTGAAATACCATTGGATAGAGCTTATGAATATTTGTTGAAAGTCAACAAAGGTGATCGTATACCAAAGAGAAGGTCTGCTCCTTCAGAGGGTTCTTTTAGCCGTAGTGGAAAATTTGGCCTCATCCTACTTGTTAATGCTATTTATGCAAAAAAATTTGGTGAGTAGCAAATATATATCAAATAAATATGATATAATCGAAAGAGCATTCACACTCTCTGTAATATGCTTCAGGTTTAGCATCCGATTTGGTCAAAAAGTTTCCTGAATTTGCTGTTAAAGATGATAATGTATTGATGGCAATAGTTAAAAACTTTCCGAGTAGGCTAGACTATGGGGAAGCACTTATATATCCATGTAAGTTACTTTCTAATGCACTATAAATTCTAGAGATAGTTTATTTTGTTATTCATTTTTAATTTCCCTTTTCTTCCATGGTGATAGATTATGGTTTTTTCTTTCAGTACTTATGGGCGATATTTGTGAAAGGATAGTCAAGAGAGGTAGGGACTCGTTTGAAATATTAGTAAACTATTACCAAAACATAATGGATGTGATACAAGATATACCTGACGACGTGATCTTTGGTACTATACAACTTCTGCTATACATAACGTTAATGGGTGAGCTATTGGTAACCTGTAACTCATGAATACAAACCCAGAATTAATCATATATTTGAATTAAAAAATATATCATATTTTACTAATGAAAGATTTATTCTTAATTATGCAGGCCCGTTAGCCATGCTTTCTTGGATTTATTTCATGCTTCGCGTAGTCATGTTGATGCTTTATTTTCCGTTCTTTATGTTTTATTTGCTCTTCTGGAAGGTTGCAACAAGAGTAGGTATATATAATGACTCAATGTCAGCTGAGTTTGAGGTATAATTTCTAATATAAATTTGATGATTCTATTTAACCAATTGCTTTCCAACTTTCAGTTCCACCCATTAAGCATATCGAGAAGAAAATGAAGGAAAGGAAAAAAGCAAAAGAAGTTCTGGCGTTGATATGCGATGAAATAGACAAGTTGGGGCACCCAGATGCACGTCGTCGCTTGTACACCGGACCAATTCACGAGGCTGCACGTCAAAATCTTTATGAGGTGGTTCATGAGATTTTAACGAGATCCCCTACAGCAATGCAATTTAAAGATGAAAGTGGTTACGACATTATACAGTTAGCAGTTATATACCGATCAGAACGAATCTACAACTTTATCTATTCCATAGGAGAGCGTGAAGGTATTTATAGAACTATTGAAGATTCTTTTAGGAACAATATGTTGCACTTGGTTGGAAATTTACCTCCTTCACAGAAACTTAGACGTAGATCAGGTCCAGCACTACAACTACAAAGAGAGCTTCAATGGCGTCAGGTATATCCAAAATGTATTATTATCCTTATCGTGGGGGATCAATGTATATATTCGTTGAATAAACAGAGTAATTTTTTTATAGGAAGTGGAGAGGCTCGTTGCTCCAATATGCATTACTCAAAAGAACGCTTTTATGGAGACACCAGATATGGTGTTCAGAAGGGAGCACGATAATTTGGTGAAGGAAGGAGAAAAATGGTTGAAAGCCGTAGCAGAATCATGCAGCATCACTGCAGCACTAATTACCACAATTGTATTTGCGGCAGCCATTACAGTACCAGGTGGAAGCAATCAAGAAACAGGCATCCCCGTGTTTACAAAAGAAATTGCTTTCACGATCTTTGCAATATCAGATGCAATCTCACTATTTGCATCCAGTACATCATTATTACTGTTCCTGTCGATCCTCACAGGAAGTTTTGATGAACAAGATTTTGTAGTCAAGTTGCCAAGGAGATTGTTGATTGGTCTTTGCACCTTGATGTTGTCCACAACTACCATGATGGTTGCATTCGCCGCAACATTGTTCCTTGTCTTTTGTCATAAAAGACCATGGATGCTTGCTCCAATATGTGTATTATCTTCGGTCCCGATTGCTTCTTTTGGTATTCTTCAAATGCCCCTCATAATAGATTTCTACCGGTCCACATATGGACACATCTTTGGCATTCCAGAAAACAATAACAAATTGAAGACGAATGACATATAACTCTTTTTTGGTAAGTGAAACGAATATATATCTTGGAATGACGCATTCTAGGTCCAACAATTATATATCGACTTTTTTATTGTGAACTAGGGATAGGTGTGCGAGGATATTGAGTTTAAAAATAACAAACACAAATATCTAGATATTAAGTATTTTTTTTTATTTACAGAAATCAACATATTTGGTTTATTTATATATAAAGAATATAGTTAAATACAAATTAAAAATTACATTATTTAAAAAAGGAAAGAAATAAACATATGGTGATGACTTTTGTTCAAAATAGAATGATATGTTTTTATCATTCATTGCTTTAGGTTGTTCCCATTTTTGTTTTTCCCATTTTTTTGATAAGCTGATTGAAGTAAAGTTTTGCTATTTTATTAACCTGGAATGATACACAATTGCTCATTAGAAGATTATGAAAACAAAGCCAAATTATGTTTGTAATCTTTCTTGGAAATTATGTTAGTTGACATAGTAAAAGAGGGATGAAACAAAAAAAGATAAAGATGACATACGAAAAGGTAAAACAAATGGATTTAAAGGAAATAAAGAAAATCAAATTAAACAGAAGATGGTAGGGGCGTTCCTTTGATTGATCGGTTTCATCCGAACAATCAAATGAATTAAAATTTGTTTTGAAAACGTGGATCTGAATAATTCAAACTAAATTCAAATTTAATACGGATCAACCAAATTACAATTCGGATGTATTGGTTTTTACAATTCAGTTTTCAAGAAACAAAACATTTAAAAGTAAGCATCACATGAATATTCGTCGACTTAAACAAAAACAAATTGTTTGCTTGGGAATGAAAATTTATGAACAACTATTCAAACAATCTATTATAATTTAATATTTTAAAAATAACAAAAAACTTTTGAGAAATATACATTAAGATATTTTATTGGATAATACTTTCTAATCTATTTAAAAATACTAATAAAGTAATTTAATAAATAATTAAAAGATGTATATTGAAAATAAACAAAAGAATAATTCGCTTTTACTGAAACCTCATTATTCAAAATTTCGAATATCCAAACCAAGAAGTCATATGCAAATTGTGCAATTGGACAATTCAATTTTATCTGAATACTAATGTAACGCCCCAAAAATTCATAGTAAATTTTCATTTTTAAAACAATAAATCATACAAACGAGTTGATCCAAAACCGATCAAGTGAATATATTATTTAAACATCAGAGTAATATAATTAATTATCAATGCGGAAAACTCTGGGGAAGTTGTGTAGTCACGTTAGACTCTTCCCTTTCGAACCGGAAGTATCTGAAACCATAAATATGAAACTGTAAGCACAAAGTTTAGTTAGTTCCCCAAAATACCACATATCGTACAGGGTCGGTCCAGACGGTGGGGCAACCCGGGCGATCGCCCAGGGCCCACGTCTCCAGGGGGCCCAAAATTTATAGGCTATGTAGTGTATATAAATAAAAAATTATTACCTAAATGATTTTTAGGGCCTAAAGTTAATTCAAACTCAAACTAGCTCAAAAGACAAACAATTTGGCTTGCATGTTATTGCTAATTGAACGCGTTTATAGTGAAGAATAAATGATATTTTTTTTTAATCTTTATTATATTTGTCTTTAAGGGGCATTTTTTTTCTCTTCGCCCTGGGCCCCATATACGTTTGGACCGGTTATCATATATACAATAGAGATTGCTATGTGCCAACCATAATCTTGTCATTATACCATGAGCCGTATCATGGTCTTTCCTTACCAGGTCGGGGGCCAACACCTTGGGTCTTACAAACTAGTGCCAAGAGCCACCTCCTGGTCTTCAATGCAAGTATCACAAAGACAACTAGCATACTGCATATAATTGACAGGGTCTGATCCCTGGTCTTGCATACAAATTTTCGGGAGCTACTTCTAGGTCTTTCATACAAATGCCAAGGTTCATCCCCTAGTCTTCCTATATAACATAAGCCAATGGGCCGACATTGGTGCCTTCGACCCCCGAGTATAGTGAAGAGAATCACCTGAATTACCAAGTCGACTAACATGCTCAAAGCCACGTAACCGCCGCTACAGCACTCCTATCACAACATACAAGGTCCAACCTTAGATTACATATTGGAATCAGCCATCTTGGCCAAAAGTCAACCCAAGTCAAAAGTCAAAGATCAAAGTCAAAGGCCAATGTTGACTTCAGTCAACCGCTACGTCGTGACCACTTATGGCCACGTCCTGGCCCTCCAGCAACAGTCCATCACGATATTCGTTATCGGCCCGTCGTGGCGACCTGGTGTCATGCCGTGGGCACTGAGTCTTCAACAGCTTAATGGATTAAGCTATTTCCCTCGATCCTAAGGGCTCCAAAGTTCAGATCATGTCCATATTATTGTCTAAATAGATAAAGTTTCCAACTTTATCCATTAAAGCACCCAAAGAGATCAATATCTCAAACCTTAGGTCCAAATGAAGCCAAAACCCATGATGTCTTAATCATTAAGCCCTTGATCTGAAAAAGTCCTTAACCCAACTACTCCAAAAGGTTTTCTAATACCAGGTCCATCATAAAGGTGGAAACTTTATAGATATGCATGTCCAATACATCTCTAAGATCCATCTTAGGTCAAAATATGAACGTTAAAGGCCATAACTTAGGTGCGTCATCCCCCAATTTCTCGGCCAGAAAAGACCAATTTCTCTAATAGGCTACACCACCGAATACTATATGCATGGTTGCGTTATATCTTGATTTTGGTACATATAGTACTTACTCCCGATCCCTTGCATCCCCGCCTGCTTCATTAAGGATCATCGGGAATGCTTTTGCCTTTGGTTTTAGAAGTACGTTTAGTTTTTTAGCTCCTTTCCTCTTTGGGCAGTCTTGCTTGTAGTGCCCTTCTTCATTACATTCCTGACACACCCTTTTATTGAATGTACATTCATTGGCGTAATGCCCATACTTTCCATATTTGAAACATGTCACCTCCGCGTCACATTTTCCTACGTGTTTCTTCTTGCACTTATCGCACCACCTTGCTTCACCTCCTCCTCCTCCTCCTCCTCCTCCTCCAGACTTCAAGAATTTTCTCTTCTCGTTGGACCCTGAAGTTCCTTCAAACTTTCTCTTCTCACCAACTTCAACCTTGTTGGCGGCTCTTCCCTTGATCATCTCTTCAACAGACTTGGCAGCCCAGATAGCTTCCTCCAGAGTAAGTGCATGACGCACTGGCACCGCGTACTCCCATGGAGGTCCCTTTGCGTACCTTTCGATTTTTGTCAGCTCATCTGGAACAATACCAAAGCAAACTACATTTTATCTGTGAAGTTATTGGTGTATTCATCGATGGACACACTTCCCCTCTTCAATGTTAGAAATTGGTTCTCTAGCTCAAGCAGATTTTGGGCCGAGCAGTAATTGCGCTTGAAGTACACCAAGAACTCTGCCCAAGTCAGTTGCAGTGGCTCATTAGGGCTTAGGGTCTTCCCCAGAGTCTTCCACCAGCGAACAACGCCACCTCTGAACTGAAACACTACAAATATGGTTTGTAACTTGCCTTGGCAACCACATGTCATGAAGGCTAATTCCATCTCCGAGATCCAATCCATTACTCTGACGGGATCTTCCTTTCCAGTGAAAGTCGACGGATTGCAAGTAATAAAATCTTTGTACTTGCATCCATTTCTCTCGACTCCATCCTCTTTGTTATTCCTCCTAACCACAAGCGGTTCACTTTGACCAACAGATCTACTGTAATTTTCTTCCTCTGACTATCTTTCATTTAATTCAGGTTGTTCAATAGGCATTGAAGGTTCATTCTTGTTGTTCAGCAATAGTTGTCTCATTTCTTCCCTTTGTTCAGCCATCATAGCTTGAATCATGGCTTGTACTCCAGCCATTGTGATTGGTTCTGGTGCAACTTCTGCTATAGGCACATGTTCCATTACTTGGGGTTGATATTGTTGATTTCTATTTGCATTTCCAGCTCCACTTCGGGTTCTTGCCATTATGATCTATACACCAAATTAGGCGAATTTAGATCTCTATTCACGATAGATATTTAAATTCTCCTTATCACTCTGAATCATGGCTTGTACTCCAGCCATTGTGATTGGTTCTGGTGCAACTTCTGCTATAGGCACATGTTCCATTACTTGGGGTTGATATTGTTGATTTCTATTTGCATTTCCAGCTCCACTTCGGGTTCTTGCCATTATGATCTATACACCAAATTAGGCGAATTTAGATCTCTATTCACGATAGATATTTAAATTCTCCTTATCACTCTGAAACGTTATATGCTAGTTCTAATATCGTAGTTATACGCTTAGAATCCTAAACACATAAGGTTTTCAGATCCGGTCAGCAACAGACCATAGATCCGAACAAATAATATCATATATGACAAACATATAGCATTTAGCACATAAAAGCATTTTAGGCATCTTTCCTAAAATATACTAGTGCTTGTGTCTAAAATATGGTAGACACTCATCTCACAATCATCACTTAGCATTCTAAGTTTAAGTCTAGAAATCCTAAATATTCCTAGTTCGCTTAAACTAATGCTCTGATACCAACTGTGACATCCCCCAATTTCTCGGCCAGAAAAGACCGATTTTGTTTATGTTTTTAAAATAAAATCAGAGTAATCTCTCCAATAAAATATGTGGAATTTGTCCCAAAACAAAATATGATAAAAATTTCATTATGAAACTCGGGATGTCCACATCGATACAGACCAAAAGCATAAACAGTACATTATAGGCATTACAACAGTTATTTACATCTACTGGCCTATAATCCAAAAATCCCTCGTCATCATCCAACTATGCTCTGGATCCACTACCTGTAATATAGAAAGCTGAGTGGGCCAGGCTTGGGAGCCTGGTGAGTATATAGGGTTTTCAACCCATAATAAACAAATTTATTAATTTTCATCAACCAACAATAAATTTATTAATTTCATCAACTAACAATAAATTTATTAATTTCATTAATCAATAATAACCCTGA